CCCAGGCACCTCCAGGTGTGACCCCAAACCTCCAGAATGACCCCAAACACTGACCCCAAACCCCAGGTGTGACCCCAAACCCCAGGTGTGACCCCAAAGGTGACCCCAAAGGTGACCCCAGACTCACGATGGCCTGGTTGAACTTGGACTCGATCTCCCCCAGCAGCTGAACCCAGGCACCTCCAGGTGTGACCCCAAACCCCAAATTCTGACCCCAAACCCCAGGTGTGACCCCAAAGGTGACCCCAGACTCACGATGGCCTGGTTGAACTTGGACTCGATCTCCCCCAGCAGCTGAACCCAGGCACCTCCAGGTGTGACCCCAAACCCCAGGTGTGACCCCAAAGGTGACCCCAGACACTCACGATGGCCTGGTTGAACTTGGACTCGATCTCCCCCAGCAGCCAGTCGAAGGCCTCCCCGCTGAGCCGGAACTCCTCCACCATGCGGCGGCTGCAGAGGGTGGAGCGCAGGTGGATGTTGAAGAGCAGCGTCGCGTTCTCCTGCGCCTGGCGGCTCAGAGGGTCCTCCCCGTTAACGATCACCAGCTTCCGGCTCAGCTCCTTCACCCCTGCGGGACAGCGCCGTCACCGAGGGGGGACACGGACCTCCAGAGCCTGCCTGGGGGTCTCAAGGACCTCCAGAACATTCCTGGGGGGACTCAAGGACCTCCAGAACATTCCTGGGGGGCTCAAGGACCTCCAGAACATTCCTGGGGGGACTCAAGGACCTCCAGAACATTCCTGAGGGCTCAAGGACCTCCAGAACATTCCTGGGGGCTGGAGAACCTCCAGAACATTCCTGGGGGTCTCAAGGACCTCCAGGACATTCCTGAGGGTCTCAAGGACCTCCAGAGCCTGCCTGGGGGCTGGAGAACCTCCAGAACATTCCTGAGGGCTGGAGAACCTCCAGAACATTCCTGAGGGTCTGGAGAACCTCCAGAACATTCCTGAGGGTCTCAAGGACCTCCAGAACATTCCTGAGGGACTGGAGAACCTCCAGAACATTCCTGAGGGTCTGGAGAACCTCCAGAACTTTCCGGGGGGTCTGGAGAACCTCCAGAACATTCCTGGGGGTCTCAAGGACCTCCAGAACGTTCCTGGGGGGCTGGAGAACCTCCAGAACGTTCCTGAGGGTCTCAAGGACCTCCAGAACGTTCCTGGGGGCTGGAGAACCTCCAGAACATTCCTGAGGGGACTCAAGGACCTCCAGAACGTTCCTGAGGGTCTCAAGGACCTCCAGAACATTCCTGAGGGGCTGGAGAACCTCCAGAACATTCCTGGGGGGGCTGGAGAACCTCCAGAACATTCCTGAGGGTCTCAAGGACCTCCAGGACATTCCTGAGGGTCTCAAGGACCTCCAGAACATTCCTGAGGGTCTGGAGAACCTCCAGAACATTCCTGGGGGCTGGAGAACCTCCAGAACATTCCTGAGGGGCTGGAGAACCTCCAGAACATTCCTGAGGGTCTGGAGAACCTCCAGAACTTTCCGGGGGGTCTGGAGAACCTCCAGAACATTCCTGGGGGTCTCAAGGACCTCCAGAACATTCCTGGGGGGCTGGAGAACCTCCAGAACATTCCTGGGGGGCTGGAGAACCTCCAGAACATTCCTGAGGGACTCAAGGACCTCCAGAACATTCCTGAGGGACTCAAGGACCTCCAGAGCCTGCCTGGGGGCTGGAGAACCTCCAGAGCCTGCCTGGGGGTCTCAAGGACCTCCAGAACGTTCCTGAAGGACTGGAGAACCTCCAGAACATTCCTGGGGGTCTCAAGGACCTCCAGAACATTCCTGGGGGTCTCAAGGACCTCCAGAACATTCCTGAGGGACTCAAGGACCTCCAGAACATTCCTGGGGGTCTCAAGGACCTCCAGAACATTCCTGAGGGGCTGGAGAACCTCCAGAACATTCCTGGGGGGCTGGAGAACCTCCAGAACATTCCTGAGTGTCTCAAGGACCTCCAGAACATTCCTGAGGGGCTGGAGAACCTCCAGAACATTCCTGAGGGACTGGAGAACCTCCAGAACATTCCTGAGGGACTGGAGAACCTCCAGAACATTCCTGAGGGTCTCAAGGACCTCCAGAACGTTCCTGGGGGGCTGGAGAACCTCCAGAACATTCCTGGGGGGCTGGAGAACCTCCAGAACATTCCTGGGGGGCTGGAGAACCTCCAGAACATTCCTGAGGGACTCAAGGACCTCCAGAACATTCCTGAGGGACTCAAGGACCTCCAGAGCCTGCCTGGGGGCTGGAGAACCTCCAGAGCCTGCCTGGGGGTCTCAAGGACCTCCAGAACGTTCCTGAAGGACTGGAGAACCTCCAGAACATTCCTGGGGGTCTCAAGGACCTCCAGAACATTCCTGGGGGTCTGGAGAACCTCCAGAACATTCCTGAGGGTCTGGAGAACCTCCAGAACATTCCTGAGGGGCTGGAGAACCTCCAGAACATTCCTGAGGGGCTGGAGAACCTCCAGAACATTCCTGGGGGCTGGAGAACCTCCAGAACATTCCTGAGGGTCTCAAGGACCTCCAGGACATTCCTGAGGGGACTCAAGGACCTCCAGAACATTCCTGGGGGTCTCAAGGACCTCCAGAACATTCCTGAGGGGACTCAAGGACCTCCAGAACATTCCTGGGGGTCTCAAGGACCTCCAGAACTTTCCGGGGGGTCTGGAGAACCTCCAGAACATTCCTGGGGGGCTGGAGAACCTCCAGAACATTCCTGAGGGTCTCCAAACCCATCATGGCTTCCCGGGGGTCTGGAGAAACTCCAGAACCTTCCTGAGGAACTCAAGGACCTCCAGAACCTTCCCGGGGGGCTGGAGAACCTCCAGAACCTTCCTGAGGGACTCAAGGACCTCCAGAACCTTCTCAGGTGCCACTGGAGTCCCCAAGTCCCCCCAGAACCTTCTCAGGGGTCCCGGGGTGTCCCCAAGTCCCCCTGGGACCTTCTCATAGGTCACAGAGGTGTCCCCAGGTCCAGCTGGGACCTTCTCAGGGGTCCCGGGGTGTCCCCAAGTGTCCCTGGGACCTTCTCAGGTGTCACAGGGGTGTCCCCAAGTCCCCCAGAACCTTCTGAAAGGTCACTGGAGACCCCAAATCCACCTGGGACCTTCTCAGGGGTCCCGGGGGTGTCCCCAAGTCCCCCTGGGACCTTCCCAAGTCCCCCCAGGTCCTTTGTGAGGACCGTGGTGGCTCCAAAGCCCCCCCAGGTGGGTTTTGGGGTCCCCCACTCACCCTCCACCACCTTGACCGGGTGAAGGTCCGAGGGCAGCCGGGAGTTGATGTGGAAAATCTTCTGAGCGTTCCAGATCATGCGGAGCAGGTTACAGGGGAGCACCACCTGCAGGAGAACCCCAAAAACGGGGTCAGGACACCCAGAAACGGGGTCAGGACACCCAAAAATGGGGTGAGAACACCAAAAATGGGGTGAGAACACCAAAAACAGGGTGAAGACACCCAAAAATGGGGTCAGGACACCCAAAAATGGGGTGAGAACACCAAAAATGGGGTCAGGACACCCAAAAATGGGGTCAGGACACCAAAAATGGGGTGAGAACACCAAAAAATGGGGTCAGGACACCCAAAAACGGGGTGAGAACACCCAGAAACGGGGTCAGGACACCCAAAAACGGGGTGAGAACACCAAAAACGGGGTCAGGACACCCAAAAACGGGGTGAGAACACCAAAAATGGGGTGAGGACACCCAAAAACGGGGTCAGGACACCCAAAAACGGGCTGAGGACACCAAAAATGGGGTGAGGACACCCAAAATGGGGTCAGGACACCCAAAAATGGGGTCAGGACACCCAAAAACGGGGTGAGAACCCCAAAAACGGGGTCAGGTTTGGATTTCAGGTCACCCTCAGCAGGTCTGGAGTGGCCCAGTTGGGTTTTGAGGTGTCCCAGGAGTTTTTGGGGTGTCCCAACAGTTTTTGGGGTGTCTCAGTTGGGTTTTGGGGTGTCCCAGGAGTTTCTGGGGTATCTCAGTTGGGTTTTGAGGTGTCCCAGGAGTTTTTGGGGTGTCCTGGTTGGGTTTTGGTGTATCTGGGTTGGGTTTTGGGGTGTCCTGGTTGGGTTTTTGGTGTATCTGGGTTGGGTTTTGGGGTATCTGGGTTGGGTTTTGGTGTATCTGGGTTGGGTTTTGGTGTATCTGGGTTGGGTTTTGGTGTATCTGGGTTGGGTTTTAGGGTGTCCTGGTTGGGTTTTGGGGTGTCTGGGTTGGGTTTTGGTGTATCTGGGTTGGGTTTTGGGGTGTCCCAGCAGTTTTTGGTGTATCTCAGTTGGGTTTTGGTGTATCTGGGTTGGGTTTTGGTGTATCTCAGTTGGGTTTTGGGGTATCTGGGTTGGGTTTTGGGGTGTCCTGGTTGGGTTTTGGGGTGTCCTGGTTGGGTTTTGGGGTATCTGGGTTGGGTTTTGGGGTGTCCCAGCAGTTTCTGGGGTGGATTTTGGTGTCACCTTGCTGTCCCCGGTGGGGAAGATGACCCTGAGCACCTCCCTGTCCTCGCGCATGCGCTCGAACTCGCGCTCCAGCTCGTTCTGGATGTGGGCGTTGGACAGGATGTCCTTGACCAGCTCCTCCTGCAGCGTCCGGCGCAGCGCCCGCTCGTTGGTGTAGTCAAACTTGAACCTGGGGGGACACGGGGACACCTCAGGGACACCTCGGGGACATCTCGGGGACACCCAGGGATATCTTGGGGACACCCAGGGACACCTTGGGGACATCTCAGGGACACCCAGGGACACCTCAGGGACATCTCGGGGACACCCAGGGACAACCAGGGACATCTCGGGGACACCCAAGGACAACCAGGGACATCTCGGGGACACCCAAGGACATCTCGGGGACACCCAAGGACACCTCGGGGACATCTCAGGGACACCTCGGGGACACCCGGGGACACCTCGGGGACACCTCGGGGACACCCAGGGACTCCAGGAACATCTTGGGGACACCCAAGGACACCTCGGGGACATCTCAGGGACACCTCAGGGACACCTCGGGGACACCTCGGGGACATCTCAGGGACACCTTGGGGACACCCAGGGACACCTCAGGGACACCCAGGGACACCTCGGGAACATCTCAGGGACACCTCGGGGACACCTTGGGGTCACCCAGGGACACCTTGGGGACATCTCAGGGACACCCAGGAACACCTCAGGGACATCTCAGGGACACCTCGGGGACACCCAGGAACACCTCGGGGACACCCAAGGACACCAAGGGACACCTCGGGGACACCCAGGGACACCTCAGGGACACCAGGGACACCTCGGGGACACCTGAGGGACACCCAGGGGACACCAGAGCGTCACCCACCACAGGCTGGAGGAGCTTGGGGACACCAAAGGAGTTGGTCCATATTGGGTAACGCCCCAAAATGTGACCAGGAGAAGGTTGGGGACACCAAGATGTCCCCAACTCCCATCTGAAGACCCCAAGATGTCCCCAAGTCCCATTTGAAGACCTCAACTTTCATTTGAAGACCCCAAGATGTCCCCAAGTCCTGCCTGAAGACCCCAAGATGTCCCCAACTCCCATTTGAAGACCCCAGCTTTCATTTAAAGACCCCAAGATGTCCCCAAATCTCATCTGAAGACCCCAAGATGTCCCAAACTCCCATCTGAAGACCCCAAGATGTCCCCAAGTCCTACCAGAAGACCCCCAAGATGTCCCCAACTCCCATCTGAAGACCTCTGAAGACCTCAACTCTCATTTGAAGACCCCAAGATGTCTCCAAGTCCCATCTGAAGACCCCAAGATGTCTCCAAGTCCCATCTGAAGACCTCTGAAGACCTCAACTCTCATCTGAAGACCCCAAGATGTCTCCAAGTCCTGCCTGAAGACCCCAAGATGTCTCCAAGTCCTGCCTGAAGACCCCAAGATGTCTCCAGCTCCCATGTGCAGACCTCAACTCCCATCTGAAGACCCCAAAATGTCTCCAAGTCCTGCCTGAAGACCCCAAGATGTCCCCAGCTCCTGGAATGAGCCCCCCGATGACCCCAACCGGGTCCACTGACTCCTCCCACCACCACGCCCCTCCTGGTCCTCACTTCTTCTCGAAGGCCTTGTTGGAGGGTTTGAGGGTGGCCAGGTTCTGGAACTCCACGCTCTCCCCGGCCAGCCCGTCCTCGCCGTAGCGCAGCTGCACCACCTGGTTGATGGAGTTCCTGACCGTGGCGTCGTACTTCACCATCACCGACTCCATGGACTTGATCAGCCGCCGCTGGATGTACCCTGGGGGTGGGGAGGGGTCAGGAGGCATCTGGGGAGGGTCTGGGGTCTCCAGGAGGCATCTGGGGAGGGTCTGGAGAGGGTTTGGGTCTCCTGGAGGCATCTGGGGAGGGTTTGGGGTCTCCAGGAGGCATCTGGGGAGGGTTTGGGGTCTCCAGGAGGCATCTGGGGAGGGTCTGGAGAGGGTTTGGGGATCCTGGAGGCATCTGGGGAGGGTTTGGGGTCTCCTGGAGGCATCTGGGGAGGGTTTGGGGTTCCTGGAGGCATCTGGGGAGGGTTTGGGGTCTCCAGGAGGCATCTGGGGAGGGTTTGGGGTCTCCAGGAGGCATCTGGGGAGGGTCTGGGGAGGGTTTGGGGTCTCCAGGAGGCATCTGGGGAGGGTTTGGGGTTCCTGGAGGCATCTGGGGAGGGTTTGGGGTCTCCAGGAGGCATCTGGGGAGGGTTTGGGGTTCCTGGAGGCATCTGGGGAGGGTTTGGGGTCTCCTGGAGGCATCTGGGGAGGGTCTGGGGATCCTGGAGATACCCAAGGAGGGTTTGGGAGGACCCTGAAGGCATCTGAGGAAGGTTCTTGGATCCTGGTGGCATCTGGGGAGGGTTTGGGGATCTCCAGGAGGCATCTGGGGAACATCTGGGGTCTCCAGGAGGCATCTGGGGAGGGTTTGGTGGGACCTGGAGATACCCAAGGAGGATTTGGGAGGACCCTGAAGGCATCTGAGGAAGGTTCTTTGATCCTGGAGACATCTGAGGAGGGTTTGGGGGGTTTCCACACTGGGATTTTGAGGTCCTGAAGACCCCTTGGGTGGAATTTTGGGGACACTGACCGGTCTCGGCCGTCTTCACGGCGGTGTCGATGAGGCCCTCACGGCCACCCATGGCGTGGAAGAAGAACTCGGTGGGGGTGAGGCCGGCCAGGTAGGAGTTCTCCACGAAGCCGCGGCTCTCGGGGCCGTAGTCGTCCTTGATGAAGTGCGGCAGCGTCCGGTGCTTGAAGCCAAACGGGATCCGTTTGCCCTCCACGTTCTGCTGTCCCACCACCGCGATCACCTGAGGGGACACCGGGGCAGGGATGTTGGGGACATCTCCTAAAACAACCTCAGGAGCTCGAGAAAACCCCAAAAAACCTCCAAGAAACTTCAGAGGAACCCCCTGAGATCCACCAGGAACCATCCCAAAGCCCCTGAGATCCCACAGGAACCACCCCAAACCTCCTGAGATCCACCAGGAACCACCCCAAACCCCCTGAGATCCTGCAGGAACCATCCCAAACCCCCTGAGATCCACCAGGAACCACCCCAAACCCCCTGAGATCCACCAGGAACCACCCCAAAGCCCCTGAGATCCTGCAGGAACCACCCCAAACCCCCTGAGATCCTGCAGGAACCACCCCAAACCCCCTGAGATCCACCAGGAACCACCCCAAACCCCCTGAGATCCCAAAGGAACCACCCCAAACCCCCTGAGATCCTCCAGGAACCACCCCAAACCC